CAACAGGAAGGGTGCAGTGTTCCACCAGGACAACGCCAGACCACACACTTCGTTGATGACACGTCAGAAGCTACGGGAGCTCGGATGGGAGGTTTTATCGCATCCTCCATATAGCCTGGACGTAGCGCTAAGTGATTACCACCTGTTCCTGTCCATGGCGAATGCCCTTGGTGGTGTGAAGTTGAACTTAAAAGAGGCTTGTGAAAAGTGGCTGTCCGAATTCTTCGCAAATAAGGAGGGGGGCTTCTACGAGGAAGGTATTATGAAGTTGCCGCCTAGATGGAAACAGATCATCGAACAAAACGGCGCATATTTTAACTAAATCCGATCACTGTAACACTTTTTATAATGCATTGAATGAAGAGCAAAAAAGCGGAAGGGAGATATTTGACAACCTTAAACATATATGATGATATATAAACGGTATATACATATATATGCTTTTGGAGATTGCCTGAACTAAGAATATTAAATAATTTAAACATCAAATATACATATATACAAATATTGTTCAAATAATAATAATAAATATTGTTCAGCTTATTTGGCTTACTTCAGTACATACCTATATGTATGTCTATGTACTTGGATTGTTTCGAAATATTTTTTTTTAATAAGTATACACCAAACGCCTTTGCTATTGTTGTACGTTAAAAAATGTATATACATACCCGTACACAATAGCAAGTGTTGTACAAAGAAATGATTTAAAACAAAAACAGTGTAGGTTTCGAAAATTGTAACCTTAAAAAATGCAAATTATTCATTTTCCATAACGACAATTGAAAATACCTGTACCGATGACAAAAACAGCATGACATCATACGTCACTCACTGGGTTAAGAGTGCCAAACATTTGACTCACAACATTTTGCACACACAAACAAACAAATAAATACATATCTACGAGTGCATACAAATAAATACAAAAATATACTTTTGCTCATATGAAAAGTGAATTTGCAGCTCATTTGTACGCTTCGTTGCAAAATCTGTATGTGACTAATTACAGATATTACAACAAAAACGATGAAAGAATAAAAAAAAACACCCAACAAACCGTGACTGGAAGCAGAAAAAAACAGTAGTTGAATTTTTTTTAATTTAAGCCACATCATTTATACTTAGAATATTATATTTCAATAAAATATATAGAAAATAGTTATTTATAGTGAAAACGTGCTGATTCGCTACTAAATATTTCATTAAGCGCTTCTCATGATTTACCACATTCTAACCTTAACGGAAGTGTGTGTTTAATGCAATACACAAGTGGAATAAATTTTACTGTACTCGCACAAAAAGTATAAACAAATTAAATTAAAATTAAATAAAATAGAATAAAATTATTATAATAAAAACAAAATGAAGATATTTTAAATAAAATAAAATAAAATAAGATAAAATAAAATAAGAAAATAAAAAAAATAAAATAAAAT